CCGAGCTGCCCGCGCTCTCCCGCAGGGCTTGGGTGCCGGGGGCCGGCAGGAAGGGATGGGCAGATTCGGGCACCTGGTGCCGCTCTGAGCTCTTCCCGGGTCCTCGCCTGTGTCCCGTCACGGAGGGAAGTGGCGAGCCCACGGCCACCGGGAGCAGCTGGAGGACCGGGGTTGGGGCCGGGGTCTCTGGAGCCTGGTCTGCTCAGCTTGTGTAGCTGCTCAGTGGGCCAAGGAGGAGGACCGGGTCACGGGGTCACCGTGTGCTGAGCCCCGGGGGCCCTGAGTGGCCTGTGCCTAGAATGCGGGCGGGAGCCAGGGTCCTACCCCCACCCCGATGGGGAGCTCAAGGGTCGGAGGAGCGATTGAAGGGTTCAGGGTCGCACCAGCTTGGCTGTGCCAGGAGGGGGGGATGTTGAGAACATGGGGCGGGCACAGCCCTGAAAGGACCACTAGGCTCTGGGCAGGACCAGTGGGCCCCGCCTAGTCCCCTTGGGGTCCTGGGGTGAAGGAGGTGGGGGTGGGAGAACAAGGGTTTGAGGAACTGGGAAGGGGGGTGATTTGGAAAGACTGTTTTTGCTCAATGTATGGACTTCCTACAGTGAACATGTACTAACTCGTAAGCGTGAATAAAGATGAACATGGGTTTAGGGATTGGGTCCCAGGATTGAAACACAGGTGGAAGGATGCGGTCAAGCCCATTTAGAGGTGACGTCCCTGGTGGGGCCGCAGCCCCTCGCAGCCAGGAGCCTTCCAGACGGCGCGGGCAGAAGGGGGCGGGAGCCCATGGGCGTTCAGGAGCTCCTGTGAGGACAGGGCTGAGACTGCCCTGGCCCAGGAGGAGGGGTGGGAATGCACCCACCTTCCTGTGACAGGAGCCACAGCCCCACCTCCGTGGGCAGGAGCCTTGCCCTCTGCCGCCCTCCCTGGCTCAGCCTGGTGGAGTGGGGGCTCCGTCGCTCCCTCCCCGGCCTAACGGGATAAACCAGGCCCTGCTGGTTTAATGAGCGGGTGAGCCGAGCTTAAGGGAACCTCACACTTGGGTGTGCCTTCTGGAAAGGCCTCTAGGGCCAGACTGGGGAGAGAGCTGGGGGGGAGGGAGACGTGGGCCTGGTGGGGCCCTGGGATGAGGTTGGGGGGGCTGCTCCTCGGGTGGTCCTGGGGCAGGAGAAGCCCTGGGGTGGCCAGGCAGCCGCCTCGGGCAGGAGGGGCTGCCGGCCCAGCACCCACCCACGTGTCCTTCTCGCAGGAGTGTCAGCCCAGTCCTTCCTCCACTGCTTCACGTTGGCCAGCGCTGCCTTCAACCTGCAGGTGGCCACCCCTGGGGTAAGTCCAGCCCCCTTTCTTTCTGGGGGTGGGGGGTGGGGGGGAGAGTGCTGTCGCTGGGAAAAGGGTGAGCCGAGGCTGCTGTGACCCGCGGGATCTGGCGTGGGCTGAGGGGCCAAGACCCACTGGCATTATGGGTCAGCGTCTGCACAGAGAGAAAGGAGGGCGCAGACCTTCCAGCAGGAGGGAGTGCAGCCCTCTGATGCATGGGGCCCGGTCACAGCAGTGATGTGCTAAGGGTTTCCAGGGTCACCCCTGAGGTGGGTGGGACATTGGCTGCTGCTTTATCGGCGACTGAGGACCAGTGTGGGCGGGTGGGGCTGACATGGAGCTTGGGTGTGTGGAGCTCTGGTGAGAGGCCTGAGCTGTTGGGTACCTTTGTCCCTGAGGGGCTGCCATTGGTCCTGGGCTCCCTTCCTTGTTCTGAGCACCCCTGTGAGCCAGCAGGGTGTCCTCGCTGACCTTGGGCCTCGGGGCTCCACAGGGGAAGACCATGGACTTTGTGGACGTGAGTGAGAGCAATGCACGCTGGGTGCAGGACTTCCGCCTCAAGGCCTATGCCAGCCCCGCCAAGCTCGAGTCCATCGATGGTGAGGGCCCGAGACCTTGGAGGGTCGGGCGTGTGGGGTTCCAGGTGGGTTTGTGGCCCCACAGTGCTCCCTCACTCTACTCCTGGAGCTCCCCAGGGCTTGCTGCCAGGCGCTGTCACTGTCTATGGCCGCCCCCCTCCTGCGTCTTGGGCCCAGAGTTCCCAGCTGCCTCTGCGGGGAGAGGTGGCGGCACGTGGAGATGGGGAGGCAGGAATGGTCCATGGGCTGTGGGAGCCTTGGCCAGGGTAGGGACAGGGACAAAGGATGGTGTCTGGCGGCAGGAGCAAGAGGACTGACTGGCCTGTGGTCTCCCCAGGTGCCCGGTACCATGCCCTCCTGATTCCCAGCTGCCCCGGGGCCCTGGCCGACCTGGCCAGCAGTGGGTCTCTGGCCCGAATCCTGCAGCACTTCCACTCCGAGAGCAGTAGGTGACCCCTGGCCTGGGGGTGTGTGTGTGAGGGGGGGGGCTCCACAAACGGAGGGGAGGCAGGAAGGTGCCTGTGCTGGGGGTGGGCGTGGCAGCCATGGATTTCAGGGTTCAGGTCTTGGGGCTGGAAATGTCAGATCACTTCAGATGTAGAGCCCCGGGATCTGGCCAGTGAGGGTCAAGTTTACTCAGCTGTCCCACACACGAGGGTGGGCACTCCCAACCCTGCCCTTTGGCCAGCACCCCTGTGGGCCCTCTGCCTGGCCCCCTCGGGCTGGGGGCTGTGCGCCCTGGGCCCCTCCGCGGGAGGAGGGCAGGATGCGGGCTTTGTTCCTGGTGGGAAAGCCCCGGGTCCAGGCTGGGGCCGAGGCCAGCAGGGCTGGGAGAAAGGCTGCTCTGGAGACCTGGCCGGCTGCCCTGGTCTGCCTTGGGCTCAGAGGCGCATGTCTGCTCATTAGGGACCAGCCGACAAAAACCCAGGCTCCACACAGTGTCCTTTGTCGGAGAGAACGGGCCTCCTGTCCCCAGCACCAGCCACCGGGACAGGCAGCGATTGTTCCCGGCCACCTCGGCCGTGGGAACGCACTTGTGCCAGGCAGCCTCTGGGTGGCAGGCCCGGAGCCAGGGCGGGCGCTGGCAGGGCGGGGGCACTACCTGGAGCCCTGAGAGATGGAAGAGGGCGGGCGCCTTCCCACTGCAGTCAGGGGGGGCGTTTCTAGGTGGGCTGCCGCTCAGGCAGCGGTGACGGCGGTGCCCTCAGAGGGCGAGTGGGGCCTGGAGGGTACAGGCCGTTTGCCCTGAGAGGGCCAGGGGGGCGGTGAGTGCGAGTGCCGCTGGGCTGGCAAATAGACCTGCTCGCCCTCTCGACGCCTCCTTGTGCTTGTTTCTCAGCCACCGGAACTTGAGGTTTGAGCCGGAAGCAGCAGCTCCCCGTGTTTCCAGCAGCGGGGCAGCGGCCTCCAGGAGGTCGGCCGTGGGGGGTGGGGGTGTTGGGAGAGGGCCAGGCCCCGGCCTCC